CTTGATACCAAAAAGAGACGACAACAACACAAAAAAAGAAAATTACAAGTCAATATCACTGATGAACATTGATGCAAAAATCCTCAACAAAATGCTAGTAAATCAAATACAACAATACATTAATATGTTTATACACCATGATCAAGAGGTATTTACTCCAGGGATGCAGGAATGGTTCAACATCCAAAAACCAGTCAACATGATATACCACATTAACAAAATGGAGAATAAAAATCACATGACGGCGGGGATGGCCCCATGGTCTAGTGGTTAAGTTCAGCACACTCCCTTTTAGTGGGCCAGTTTCAGTTCCTGGGCACCACTTGTTGGCAGCCATGCTGTGGCAGCGACCCATATACAAAATAGAGAAAGACTGGCACAGATGTTAGCTCAGGGCAAATCTTCTTCAGAAAAAGAAAAAAATCACATGACCATCTCAATAGATACAGAGAAAGCATTTGACAAGATACTGCATCCATTCATGATAAAAACTCCAAATAAAATGGGTATACAAGGAAAGTACCTCAACATAATAAAGGCCACATATGACAAGCCCATTGCTAATACCATAGTCAATGGAGAAAACCTGAAAGCTATCCCTCTTAAGAACAAGAACCAGACAAGGATGCCCACTTTTGCCACTCTTATTTAACATAGTATTGGATGTCCTAGTCAGACCAATCAGGCAAGAAAGAGAAATAAAAGGGATCCAAACTGGAAAGGAAGAAGCAAAACTCAGTATTTGCAGATAACATGATTTTATATATAGAAAACCCTAAAGAATCAACTAAAAAACTTTTAGAAATAAGAAATGGATACAGTCAAGTTACAGGATACAAAATCAACATACAAAAATCAGTTGCATTTCTACACACTAAACAAAGTAGCAGAAAGAGAAATTACGAATACAATCCTATTAACAATTGCAACAAAAAGAATAAAATACCTAGGAATAAATTTTACCAAAAAGATGAAAGAACTGTACACTCAAAACTATAAAACATTGTGGAAAGTGAAGAAAACACCAAGAAATGGAAAGATATTCTGTGCTCTTGGATTGGAAGAATTGACAGTTAAAATGTCCATACTTCCTAACGCAATCTACAGATTCAATACAATCCCTGTCACAGTTCCAACAACATTTTGCATAGAAATAGAACAAAGAATCCTAAATTTTATATGTAGCAACAAAAGACCCTGAATAGCCAAAGAAATATTGAGAAAAAAGAACAAAGCTGGAGGTATCACACTCCCAGATTTCAGAATATACTACAAAGCTATAATAACCAAAATAGCATGGTACTGGCACAAAAACAGACACACAGATCAATGGAACAGAATCGAGACCAGAAATAAACCCATACATCTATGGACGGCTAAGTTTTGACAAAGGAGCCAAGAACATACAATGGAGAAAGGAAAGTGTCTTCAATAAATGGTGTTGGAAAAACTGGACAGCCACATGCAAAAGAATGAAAGTTGACCATTATCTTATACCATACACAAAAATTAACTTAAAATGGATTAAAGACTTGAATATAAGACAAGAAACCATGAAACTTCTAGAAGAAAACATAGGCAGTATGCTCTTCAATATTGGTCTTAGCAGCGTTATTTTCAAATACCATGTCTGACCAGGCAAGATAAACAATAGAAAAAAATAAACAAATGGGACTACATCAAACTAAAAACCTTCTGCACAGCAAAGGAAATCATCAACAAAATGAAAAGACCACCTAACAATGGGGAGAAAATATTTGCAAGTCATATATCCAAGAAAGGGTTATCTCCAAAATATATAAAGAACTCATACAACAACAAAAAATCAAACAACTCAATTAAAAAATGGGAAAAGATCTGAACAGACATTTCTTCAAAGAAGATATACAGATGGCAAATAGGCCCTTGAAATGATGTTCAACATCATTAACCATCAGAGAAATGCAAATCAAAAGAACAATGAGATAACACCTCACTCCCATCAGAACGGCTATAATTAACAAGACAGGAAACAACAAAGTGTTGGAGAGGATGTGGAGAGAAGGGAACCCACGTACACTGCTGGTGGGAGTGCAAACTGGTGCAGCCACTATGGAAAACAGTATGGAGTTTCCTCAAAAAATTAAGAATAGATCTACCATATGATCCAGCTATTCCACTGCTGGATATTCATCCAAAGAACATGAAAACACGAATGCATAAAGATACACACACCCCTATGTTCATTGCCACATTATTCACAATAGCCAAGACTTGGAAGCAACCTAGGTGCCCATCAAGGGACGAACGGATAAAGAAGATGTGGCATATAACACAACGGAATACCACACAGCCATAAAAAATGATGAAATCTTGCCACTTGGAACAACCTTGAGGGTATTATGCTAAGCGAAATAAGTCAGAGGGAGCAAGTCAAATATCATACGATCTCACTCATAAGTAGGAGATAAAAACAATGACAAACACATACCTAGATATTGGATTGCTGGTTATTAAAGGGGAAGGGGCAGGGAAAGGGTAAACGGGGTGATTAGGCACATGTGCATGATGATGGATCGTAATTAGTCTTTGGGTGGTGAACATGATGTAATCTACACAGAAATCAAAATATAGTGATGTACACTTGAAATCTATACAGTGTTATGTTACCTCAATAAAACAAAAAACCCAGGACAGCAATTTACTTTTTAAAATAAGGTCATTACTTTCACTCATCAAACTCATATATTGTGGTTCTTATTAATGCTCATGTTGATATCGTATTGGTTAAGATTATATACAATAAATAGAACTTTCCATTTATCAAGACAACGGTAACATAGATAAGAAAAATCAAGAGAAAGATTGTAAGCCATCCCTGTTCAGAGAACTGATAAATTCAGTAGCCTTGTAGAAAGGCAGTAATTTGCATCAGTAAGGCATACTAGTCATCCTGATTATATCAAAATAAGACAAAGTTGTTCTTTGTCACTATATTAACAAAGTTTTTAATATTTTTTTTGGTCTGTACACTTATTTTAGAGGACCCTGACATTTTGCAGATTCATTAAAATCAGATTGTCCCAATTGACAGTGAAGATAAATTAACTATAATACACTATTAGAAGAAAATAGGAAGTTCTCTTGGGTTCCATCCTTGCCTTCAATCGACCAAAAGTTAAGAATTCATTCAAAGGGGCTGGCCCTGTGGCTGAGTGGTTAAGTTTGCAAGCTCCACTTCGGCAGCCCAGGGTTCGCTGGTTTGGATCCTGGGCACAGACCTAGCACTGCTCATCAAGTCATGCTGAAGTGGCATCGCACATAGCTCAACTAGAAGAACGTACAACTAGAATATACAACTATGTACTGGGGCCCTTTGGGGAGAAGGAAAAAAAAAGAGGAAGACTGGCAACAGATGTTAGCTCAGGGCCAATCTTTAAAAACAAAAAAAAGAATTCATTCAAGGGCAAGGTATATTAGCAACCTTTTTGTGAGCAAACACAATTCTAAGTCAAGATCTCTCTTTAATCCTAATGGTCCATTAGCCTAAGGACAACTCCTCAGTCATGTTCTATCCTCTCAATTTGAGATCTTAACACTGTCAACAAACATTTATTAAGCATTTAATATACAGGCCAGGCAATATGCTAGATATTATAATAATTGTCAACAAATTTTTGTTTCTTCCAAGTTTTGTTTCAACAAGTTTTGTTTCTTCCAAGCACTTAGACTTGGGAAAAATAATAACAACAATGACAAACAACTAAATACAAATAACTGCTTACAAGTGTGTAGTTACTAGAAAGAAACATGCATCAACTATGGTGTCTAACCCAGCCCAAGTGGGAGGAATCTGGGAAGCTTGCCTAGGTCAGTGCTATTTAGTCTAAGGCCAGCATATAGTAACCAAGGTGAAGCAGGCTGGGTGAGGCATTCAACTCGGAATGACGCTTCAAAAGCCTTCAGAGGAAACAATGGTGGGGTAAAGAACCAGAACTGAAGCTTCCTAAAACTTACTTTAAAAAAACAAGAGACCCCATGAGTTCTGTTTTTTCTCCACAAGATAGAGATTATTTTAATACCTTTTTTTTTTTTTTGGTGACACAGTTGCCTTATATTTATATGCCACAGGTCCCTAATTAGCACAGACAGTTGAAAATATGTGCCTTTTTTTTTTTTGGTGAGGATTGGCCCTGAGCTAACATCTCTTGCCAATCTTCCTCTTTTTGCTTGAGGAAGATTGTCACTGAGCTAACATCTGTGCCAACCTTCCTCTATTTTGTATGTGGGATGCCACCACAGCCCAGCTTGATGAGTGGTGTGTAGGTCTGTGTCCAGGATCCAAATCTACAAACCTTGGGCTACCAAAGCGGAGTGTGTGAACTTAACCAGCGCACCACCAGGCTGGCCCCAAAAGATTATTTTAAACAAGACTTAAGGAATCAATGTATGTGAAAACATACGGGACAGGGAGAAAAATAAAACCACTCTCATTTGTTCAGTAAAAGTAAAAACAGTATGAAATTACCAATTACATTCTCAGAAAAACTAAGAACTTCAGCTAGTTCATGACAATCTGTACCAAGAAGACAATATATTAACATGTGTGTGCCAGGATTAATTTTACACAAATTTCCTTCTTACTTCTTCCCATTCTTGCACACAAATGCTTATTCATTTTTCATTTCTTCTTTAACACCCACAAGTGTTAGAACATTTCTCTTAATTCATTTGCCCCAAATAAACCTTCATTATTCTAAAAGGTTCTAAGCTTCAACTTGTTTTCTAAGAGCCATGGCTTAAAGAGCTATTACGTTATTGTCTGCCTCTATTCTGTTTGGGGCGTTACGCTATGCTCATGTATTTATTCCACATCTCCCAAATGCAAGAATCTGTGATTGTATTATTCTCAATTGTACGTGAGGAAAAAATAATGGCTAGATAAAATTCTAAACAAAATGAGTTTTCTCTATGCCTATATTCTAAAATTGTTAGAGAAGAACAATTTGAACAAACAAATGTTGATTTAATTCATTCGTCTTTTATTCATTTTGGAAAATATCAGATAATAGGAGCAAAATTACATTGCTCACTATAATTACACACTGTTTTTTCACTTTACACAAATTGTAAACATACTTAAGTGGATAAAATTCTTGGCTAAAGACATATTCCAGAACTCTGGCATATTCTTTTCTGAGTTAGGACAAAAGAAAGCTTTTGAAACTTCCATTAGACTATCATCATACAGCAAACTAAATTAGCATGTGCTGATTTTAAATTAACATCTGCCTTTTTTTAAAGACTTCAATATTAGGTTACAGTTAAAATTATTTTAATCTCAAGTTTTATGAAAGAACAGAAATTGACCATACAAATTTTACTCATAACCATATTGGCCATTTAAAAATAAAAAATAAAACTATAATCAAGAAAATTCCACTCGTCTGGTAGAAAAAATACCAATAAGTTATTTTAGAATATTTTAAATATGGATTGAATTTATAATAACTAGTTTTCATGATACTGTTTTATTACTTCTAAATGCTTATCCTTTAATTTTAAAGTAATATTACTTCAAAATAAAGCCAAGCTGTTTAGTATTTTATAACTTCATTCTTTTATAAATTTCAGACCCTGAAAAAATTCAGATCAAGGATTACAAAACAGGGAACCTTCAGAATATATTTTGTTTGGCAGGCAGAATGGTTTTCAATCTTTTGAACTGGAATACCTTCATGCAGTACTTACTTGCTCTAGTTGACTACAGTCCCTACCACTTTCCCACATTGTCACTTGCTGGGCATGTAAAACTGACACTCCATTTTTAATATTATAAACCCAACATTTACTTACAAAATTTAGCTGCATTCATGGAGCAAAAACTAAAATATTATAAATTTGATGCTAAATCTTACTAGTTATTTCTAATTTGGGAACAGATCAAACCAAAAAGGTCTCATTTTCATAATACTTCCTTACAGAACAAATTATCAGACACATTTGTATACATGGATACTATCTTCTTAGAATACTGTTACTCCTAATTGTCATTCCTAGAATATTGTTAGGAGTAACCTAAAATTTGAGCTAGATAAATCATTCACACCAAAAGTATTCTGTACTGATTTTACTATACAGTCTTGGCTCCCAAACAGTGGTTTTCAACTTTATCAATACATGCAACATAAAAATTCCCAAATATCTGAGTTAAAGGAAACGTGACATTAATAAGGCTGAGAAAATAACAAGTAACAAAGGCTTTCTCCTAACCCTAGAGAATGAAGCAAAAAGAAAGATCTTGTAAGACAAATTGGAAAAGAGGAAGAAATGGAAGTAAATTTGGCCTTGGGCCCTTTTACATCACTACGCCTTCAATTTGTACAAGTTAAAGAATAAGAGACGCCACAAACTGTTTCTTAGTGGAAAAGGCTGCAAGGAAAGCAAAGCAGCTGAGGGGTGATAGAGAAAACACAACAAAGAACAGAAAAACTTGTAGTTATGAAGATAACCCAGAAATGATGGTCTTAATTCCACTGCGAATTTTAAGAAACAGCAAGAAATAACAAATGAATTAGAAAGACAGTAATGTTGGGTCTTTTTAAGTTATACACAACTAAAAGGTTAATCTTTAATTCTTTCGAGGTTTAAATCTGACAGGGAACACCAATTTACCTTTGAATTTGTCTCATTTCTTAAAACTTAGCAACAGATTCCCATCTGAATAAGTATTTAAAAATTCTTAATTATTAAAGCAAGCTTCTCAGCTGTACTTTGATAGGGTTATATAATAAGCTTCATGGGATTAATCCCATCAATACCAAGGTTACTGTAATCAAGTTCATTTATAAGCATTAACTAAATCTGCTATCACCATCACCACATTACTGTAATGACAAAGAGACTGAGTCATTTCATTTCTTCAAGAAAAAGTACACTGAAATGGTTTGAAAGCTTTTAGTAATGGGAGGAAAAAACCATTTAAAATTTACTTCAACGGAAAACAGAATGTACAGGATCCTATACTAATAAGAATATCAGCAAACAGGGTACCATCTTGTTCTATAAACGATGTTGTTCTCCACAATGGGCTTACGAGTTTTTAAACTACTACTAAGGGGACGCTGGTTAAAGTTTCTCTCTGACACATTTTTCAAAAACCTGTAAGTAGCTTTGCCATAACACTAATTTAAGGTAGTTGTGTTTTTCAGTAATTTTTAAAACAATTCAGCACTTGGTATAAATACTCAGATCAGCACACTGTACTAAAACATAATTGTGCAACATTTTGTAAACTAGCTGCAATTTTCAGTAGTTGTGTTCACCAACTGTGTAACAGAATTGTAGTGTTCTCCTAAGCCATATGCATGTCTCATATATCTGGAATGAAAAAAGGAGAAATGAGTAGTTTAGATGAAAGTAATTCACTGTATATAAATGTTTATTATGTATATAAAACCATGCACTCTGAATGAATCACTCCACAGGGATATCACTCACTAGACTTCACTGGCATATTACTTAAAAGTTCAACACCATTTGAAAAGCATCAGCAGTCAGTAAGATCTGGTTCAATAACTCTGCTGAGTTTAGGTCAGGTAAAACACAACCATTGGAGGGAAAAAGGAAAGACTGAGATGCTAGGTGCTTGATAAGCTTAAATTTTTACCTAAATCCAAGCCATTAATGACCACTTTAGTAGGTTTAGTTAAACACTAAAGCCAATAACAAACTGCCCATGCTGTGTTTCAGAGGAACATTCTCTATCATGTAAAATACTTTCACAATATGAAGAGAAAATCTCTAAGGAATAAACAATCAGGCAACATGAATATATTTTAGCTTTTATACTTGTTGACACTTTTAGTATTATTAAGGTCAAACCAGGACAATATGAAAACTAATCTTAAAACTTTGTAACTCTTAGAAATGACTTTTTTCTTAATTCATACACAAGAATAAATCCCTAGAGATTTAAACAATTATCTAAATCACATATTTTGACAATTCTTTCCAATTCTATAATTGTCTTTAACATAAAATAAGCATAATTAATGCAGCTGAAGACAGATTTTTTATCAACATACACAACGTAAAATCTTTTAATAATCCTTTTTGTCTTAATTATGAAAAATATAACAGTAGAAATTCCAGGTACTTACACAAGTATTAATGGGTTTTTTGGATATTCTTCGCCAACTACAATAGGAGGTGAATCTGCCTGAATTATCTCTATTGGTGTTTGCAAAATGTGAGACAGCGCTCTCAGCTATAGGAAAGAAAACGCATTAGAAAAGAAAATAAAAAGGTAAATCTTAGTCAAATCAAACTACTGAGGTATGCATGAATAGGGCAACCAGTCAGAGCAGGGATCTATTCTGTTCCTCACGGTACACCAAGAGCCTGGCACATAGTGGGCACTTAATACATATTTGTTGTAAAAACAAATATATATATTTATTAAACGAATGCAGAAGTTTTAATGCCACAGTTAATGAAGCGAGGGGATTGGTAGATTGGGTTCATTACACTAGTCTCTCTACTTTTGAATAAGCTTGAAAATTTCCATAACAAAGACCTTTGAAAAATACCACTGCTCAGGCATCAGACCAAACCAATTACAACTTGGGAGGGGCAGGGGAAGGAGAAAGGGAGCAAGGAAGAATAGGTTTACTTTTTTTAAAGTGTTTCAGATGATTCTAATGTACTAGTGTTGAGAACCACTGCTCTATAACTTTCAAGGCATGAGTAGAATGACTTAGGTACTATTCTTTCACGGAATTTCCATCTGATTAATACACAAGCTTAATTTCATACCATATGATATAAAATTAGAGCTTAAAGTAGGATGGATAAGAGTTAATGAATATTGAGAGTAACATTTTTTAGACTTACTGTGACCAAGCACTGTAAGCACTTTACGTGTATTAATTCAATCTTCACAACAACCTATGGGATAGGTACTACTGTTACACAGTTTAAAGTCCTAGAATCTGAGGCAGAAAAGGGTTAAGAAGGCTGCCCAAAGTCAAGCACAAGGAAATGAAATGACCTGCAATTGAACTGAGGAAGTCTGACTCTAGAGCCCAAGTTCATAAACAAATTAATCATTTAACAGTGTTCAATCATAGTGCCCTGATCTCCTGATCTACGTATTTGGCCTATTATAAAAACATTCTGTCTAGAAGATGGTCCTTTTAGGAAGTTTTAAATGAAGGTAAGAAATTACTTCAGGAATATGGAAAAGGTTCTATGCTGTACAGTGGTAAATTTAATCCCATACTTTCACCTTGTAAAATGTTCTTCTGAGGCACTTTTTTCTTATACAAAAAATAATATATTTTAAAACCTAGCTCAGAATGGAGGGTGTGAAGCAAGCTCTGGAAATCTTAACATCCCTTCTAAGTCTTCAGAAATCATATAAAGAATTTCTCTTTAGCAATTTAAATTTACTCCATTGTGAAAACAGCAACTCATTTCAAATGAACTCACAGATGAACAATTTATAAGTAAATGTCCTTCTAAGGATGTTTTAAAAGGTTTTTCTCAATTTAAAAACAGTTGCTTAGGTCTGGTGCTCATATTAATTTGTGATCCTTATAAGAAAGTTCAAGCATCTTTAATTAGTCTCAATGTAGTCACAAAGATACCATGAAAACTTTCTGAGTTTCAGAGACCCAGGAGAGGCATACAAAACGAATGGACACAGTTCCCTCTGGTGGCTCAGAAGAGGTACATACAAACATAACTGCTAAGCAAAAGATTTTGAAGAAGCATTCATGACGTATCTTCAAACAACATAGTTCTTGACGTGAAATACTCAGAGCTACAAATGCTTCAAGCTGACTAATCATCATTACACAATAATAATACTGCTTGATTCATCCATGCGGCACTTTAGCTTACAAACTTCTATGCCTATTCTCCTTGCCTTATTTAATGTCCACAAATAACCTACCAAGCACACACAGGGGTTTTATTATCTCCATTCAATAGTTAGGAACTCGAGCTCAAGAGGTTGGCTGACTCCCCCAAGGTCACAAAACTGAGAAGTAGAAGGAAAAGCCAGGACCCAAATCCAGGACTTTCCTCGTATCCTCCGCCTTTCTAATACTCCAGGCTGCCTCATCACCACTTAGACCACTCAGGTGTTTTGTTTATTTTGTTTTAATGAAAGAAACAACAGTAAGATAAATAATCAGAGCTAAAAAAACTCCTGGTTAAATCCCTAGAAGTGACTCAACACACCACTTTCTTGCATGTGAATTTTAATACATCAAATACTGCTTTCAAATCAGTCAGTATCAACTAGGAATTCCAAGACAGAACTTTAATTATGTGTTGTGGTAGGATCTGACTTGTAATTTCATATAAAAATACTGTTTTCTATTTCTGATGTAACAGATATGTTACTTTTCCAAACGTGATTTTCATCAGCTGAGCCACTAGGGTAAATTTTACTGTACTTGAGTAAAATCTTTCATAAATCTAGAAAATCAAATATATTGCCAGTAGAAGCATCACAAATAGAAACACACAGATGCAACACTAGCCTCCCCAACCCAAAGATCAAACACTGGACTATTTAAAATGAAATAGTCCTTCACTTCCCAAAGGTACATACTTAAATCAAAGACCTAAGAATGTTAACTCCCTATTTCGATGCTTCGTCAGTAGAGAAATAGCAAATATATAAAGAAAAGGAATTTTCAAAAAGAAATTAGGGTCATCTGAAAAATACGTCTAAAACTACAGACAGGATTTAGAAATAATTTAACAATCACTATGAATAATGACTAACTCACCTCAAGTTGACCTCCCCATGCAGTTGTGTTTACAATATCATCACAGTACTTTCCAAACTCTTCTGTAGAGAATAAATCAGAATACAGCACTTAATGATTTTCATAACTCACATTACAAGATCCCTTTTACAGTTCCCACAATTCCTGATGAAACTTCCCAAGTCATGAACTTCCTCCTTCTCTACCTGTACTCTCCAGAATTTAATCCACTTTCCAGATCCACACTTAACTCACTCCAACTTTCCACCACCTTTCCAAGAGCAAAGCAACTTATTTCTGCTTCTCTCCCTCAGCCTGCAGCCCAGAGACCTTAACTATGTAACAGACCTACTTCCCTCTCTTTACCCAAGCAATGTCCCTGCAAACTGCCACCATATTCACTATCTTGACATGTATTTTAAAGCCTAAACCTGTACCTGAAAGAATATACTGAAAGACTAAAACATGTAGCTTCTATAAAATCAGATGCACTGTTAAACCCCGTAAGAAATGTGAGAAGAGAATCAGGGTAAAAGCACAAATGAGTTGAAACTCCTTTCCCAGCCATAGCATCAAATAGTGCCTCCACTTTTTATTTTGGAAGCATTTACCTTATTTGCATCAGTATCAGTTCTACCAAAGAAAGGGCTTCGTGGATCAGTCCTGAGAGGAGGTAAAACACCTAATCGCAGAGTTTACTGGCCTATCTTGAGCATACACACTTTTATACAGAAAGTTAAAATGGGAAACTAACGCCCTTCCTAAACTGTTTAAGAGGAAGGGGGAAGAATTATGGGTATCTCAAGTCCCATGTGTTTGTCTCATTCCCTGCTACATGCTCAGTGCTCAGAACAGTGCCTAGAATAGCTCCTGGTACATAGTGGCCATCAGTAAATATTGGCTGAATGAATAAAGATAATTAAGGCTTTTGTCTTTTTCTGATTCAGCATGCTGAGTTGCCACCTCCTCTCCACTGCCATACAACTAGCAGAGTTGGGGACTCCATTAAATGAAAATCAACCTTAAGCTTCCCCTCTCCAATCCATCCTGCCATATGACTTGCTCCCAGTGGATACTGCCACACCTGCCATCTACTCTCAAGGACTAACTTGCCTGTATTTATACCTTACTCTCCAGAAACTCTTTCAGATTTTCACCTGCTCTCTCCTTCATTTGCTAGTTGTGCATTTTTTATTTTATTTATTTTTTTGGTGAAGAGGACTGGCCTTGAGCTAACGTCTGTTGCAAATCCTCCTCATTTTGTTTGAGGAGGACTGTCACTGAGCTAACATCTGTGACAATCTTCCTCTATTTTGTATGTAGGACGTGACCACAGCATGGCTTGAGTAGTGTACAGGTCTGCACCCAGGATCCGAACCCAGGAACCCCGGGCCGCTGAAGTGGAGCATGCAAATGTAACCACTATGCCACTGGGCCTGCCCTTAATTGTGCATTTTTTTACCTCCCTATAAATATCCTAATTATAGAAGTTATTATAGAGAATAATGAAGGTTATCAACTCATTTGCTTTTGGTTTTGCAAGGTCAAATTTTGTCTGAATATTATGGTTTACTGAGAATAAAATTAAATCTCCCAAAGTGCAGGATAAAAGGAGGAATTAGTTTTCCTAACCATTCTCTGTTTACGCTCTTCAGGCCCTAGAGTTCCAGAGACTCGTCAAAGTTTACCTCCCTCTATGCTTAACTTTGTGAAATATGAAATTATGAACACATTTTTTTTCAATAATAATAATGAATCCTATTCCTATTTTTATCGTATTTAAAACAACTAATATATTTTAACTACAAAACGGTTAAATACTTAAAAGATCTGAATAAAGCAAAGTGTATTAGTATTGATTAAAATTATAGAAAATAATTTTGCCTAAATTTTTAGATTTTCTTTCTTCCCCATAAGGACTATATGAGTTTTTCTTATTCTCAGTCCCAGGAAACACCTGATTTAACAACCACCACAATGACAGCAGTAGCAACAAGACATAGTAAAGAAAAACAAACTACCTGGAGTATACATATCTCCTGTATTAGGGTTTGTTAAAAATGGCAGGAAGTCTTCCACATGGCTTTGCATATATCCAGCAGTCTGACTTCGTAAGGCAGCCACAGTTAGAGGGCATTCCTGTCCTTTCAGCTGATCTTCAATGGCTCTATACATACAGTGACCATCAGATGGAATCTGTTTAATCTCCAACTGTCTGGCTGCCAATATTTGAGCAAGTTTTTCACTCTCTACATGTCGAGCTCCAGTTAAGTTTTCAATTTCAGCTTCAGCTATCCTTTCTTCCCGTTCCTTCTCCAATGCAGCTTTTTTGTCCTAAGAAGAGGAGAATGATGGAAAGTTAATTCATAAGAATTAGGACTAATTTACATTTATTAAGGGGATAGAAATATCAGATTCTCAAAACTTTTTGCCATTTTTCTCCCTTCTCCCACAAGTACTATCATATTGATGATCTCATCACTTTGCAGAATTTTCTATACTATGAACCCCTCAAAGGCAAACTGTCTTTCTCATCTGTGGGTACCCAGCACCTACCACCATACTAGGACAAAAGAAAGCCCTGAAATTTTTCTTTCAACTCTATTTAAAACAATATGCCAAGTTTCTAAAAACTTTACTTACTGATTTCAAAGTACTGTCTTAAGACTGAATTGTCCTAGGCCTTAAAGCAACATCATGATCACATCTAAGTCCAAGCTAATCCAAGCTTTTTAACATATCACTTCACCAGTGAGGCATTAATATACTAAAGCCTTTAGAAGGATACAGGAGCTCTATTTATCTAGCTCAAAAAAAAAGTGTGTGTAGACAGACACACACACACACATTCACACTTAACTGAAGTAACAGATAAAAAAATTCTTCTTTATAAAAAATTAAAATATTACAGGTAGACTAAAGTTCCCCCTAAGGACCACTGCCAATCGCAGTGCCTGCCCTAGAGGTCTGGTGTGCATCCTTCTAGAGTTTTTTTCTATGCATTTTAATAAATATAGATGTACTCATAGAAAATATATAGAAAAAATATTTTAACAAAAATGGCATCATACACTACATTCGGCAACTTGCTTTCCTTATTTAAATGTCATAAGGGATCTTCCCATGGCAGTATGTGCAAGGATGGGGTCGGGGTAGGGCAATGAGAGGTTTGTGACATGAAGGATGGATAAGAAGTAGAGTGGGAAGGTTGAGGAAGAAGAGAAAAAATTCCTGACAGCTAGACTAGCAAGGATCAAAAGCCAGAAAGCACGATACCAGGGTCAAGAGATGAGGCTGGGGAAAAAAGATAGGTATATAGTTAATATATATTATGGCCATGCATACATAGTTAAAAAAAATCAGAAGGATAAACACAAAATATTTATACTGCTTTTCTCTGGATGGTAGGATTACAAAATAAGCTTTTTTTCCTTTGTTCTTTTAACAGATTTTTTTTTGCTAGGAAAGATTCACCCTGAGTTAACATCTGTTGCCAATCTTCCTCTGTATTTTTTTTTTCTCCCCAAAGTCCCAATACATGGTTGTATATTCTAGTTGTAAGCCCTTCTAGTTCTTCTATGTGAGCCACTGCAACAGCATGGTTACTGACAGAGGAGTGGTGTAATGGTTCCAAGCTTGGGAACAAAACCCAGGCCGCCCAAGTGGAGAATGTCGAACTTTAACCACTAGGCCATCAGGGCTGGCCCAGTTTTATTTGTGTGTGTGTGTGTGGGTGTGGGTGTGGGTGTGGGTGTGCGCGCGCACGCGCTTATCTGCATCTTTCTAATTCGCTACCATAAGTATGCTTTACTTGCATACTGGGGGCAAGTGCTTTTCAATTTAAAAGAATAAAAATAAACTAAATTGTACAAATCTTGGTGTTGGTAGCAAATTACAGGGAAGGGTTTGGTAAACCAAGAAAAAAGAGTAGAAAGAGGTAAAGATTTTCATGATTCTAGCTCTAACCCCTCCTTGGGGGAGAAGAAGCGAACAGAAAAGCAAATTTCAATTTAACTTAATGCCACATACTTGTGCTACATGCCTGTTATGTGCCATGCTAGATGAACCTAAAGAGATTTCTAAATTACCTGAATCAAAAACAGTATTATCTCCCTAATAAAATATAAACCTATTTAAGTTTTTTCCTCCCAACTCCAACCATTCCAGAAGTAACCCGAACAAATTTATTTCACTGCATACCTACAACTGTGGATCACAGGCGCCATAAAATCTTAAAACAACAAGATGGCACTATTACTTTATAAAAGACTGCAAAACGTTTTCAGAGGGGAGAAGAAGGATAAGCACCTTGGATATCACCTAATCCAAAACCCCTCACTTTCCTCTTCTGAGGAAACAGCACGCAGAAAGATTTCCAAAGGCCATACAGCTGGTTAGAAGCAGAGCGGGGACCAAGGACAACAGAGAGCTCCTTCTATCCAGGCACCTGAATCAGAATAAAAGTTGGAGCAGATGGGAGCTGGAGTTAATGATGTCATGTACTAGTTACTGGAAGAGTGGAACTTTATACTATCTACAGAACCGTTTAAGCCACAAAAATACTAACCCAATCATTTCATTTTTTTTCCTCATGCTCTGCTTCAATATTACAAAGCAACTGTGTTTCCTCTCTAGGGCACTAGGTGGGAAATTCACTGGAATCTTGTTCCAGCCATGTATAGTTTCCCATTAGCACAAGGCACGTTGCTTTCTACAATGCTAGTACTGGAGATAGAATGGCATCAAAAAAGTCTAATGAAAACGTAGGATGGAACTAGCACGTAACTCACATTCTCAGTAAAACTAAAGTCATGTTGACAGAGTAACATAGCAAAACAACTCTGAAGAGAAATCTTAAGAGCTGGGTACTAGTCCTGATTTGTAGCAAACTCTCTCAGTACGCCATTGCAACAGCCCAGGCCTCAGCTTTCTCATTTGTAAAATAAAGAAACTGAAAAAGATCTCATTCTGGCTCTCAAATTTCTTATTTTTGGAACCCAGTTCTTCTAAGTTCTACTTTGGGCTCTTTCTGCCATACCAAAGAGCTTCCACTGAAGTTCTCTGAATTACATAAAATTCTCCCGAGGTTTTTCTAGATTAAAATAAGAGATTTGTCCCACAACATTCCAATAATAAATCTTCATAAAGTTTTGTCATGTTTTTCTACCAGAGAATTGTATCTCTCCCAAAGATAAACACCATTAGTTAACTGGCTTTTCATTCCTTGGTGCCCTTGGCAAAAAATTTAAAAAAAAAAACAGGTTTGAATAAGTCTAATATCCAATTATCAACCCTGTTTTCAGGTTCCATTTTCTTAAATATAAACTTTTAGTGTTTTCTGTTCCAGAATCCTATTAATATAACAAAGCAATAAGAAACTCTGGGCATTACTTCTAGAGCGTTTTCTCTGCCAAGTGTTAAAGCAGCTGACTATAAAAGATAGTAAATTTTTTTAGGGTAGAGCTAAAAAACGTATGCATTTCAGCTATGTAGTATTTTAGGAGAAAAGTAAGAAAATGTTTGAGGAAGGTAACAAAAAGTTTATTTTGTTTTGTTTGTTTTGTGGCCTAATGGTCCAGCCAGGTGAAGATGAATAAGTTTTGATAAAGAGAGGAAGGAGCTGTGTTCCTACGTTTTCCAGAATTAAACAGGCTACTCTAAGATGTATCAATTCTAAGAAGAGGCAATTCCAACAAATATTTTGTGATGCTACGGCCAAGCAAAAATTCTGCCCTTCACTTTTGATCTATGGGAGCTAGATGACAATTATAAGACTATCACAAAAAGAATACATATTTTAAGTATGGAGTTGAACCTCCAAGATACCATGAAATCTAAACTTCACAATTCTATGAAATTCACAATTAAAATATTTACTCAAGTAAAATTTTACATAAATATGAGAAATGTTTGACAATTTGCAACTTAATCAATTTTCAAATAAACAAAAAAATGGTCTTAGGTTAAATTTTTTAAGATGCATACTATGCAGTACTTAACACAGTAAACAATACTATCATTTGTTGACCCAGGAGCTCCCCAGGCCTTGTGTTAGGGCTTTGGAAATAGTATATTATTTAATATTCACAACAAATCTATGAAGTAGGCATTATTTCCCCCAATTTTATACATATGAAACTGAGGCTTAAAAATGTTAGGATCTTACCCAAAGCCTCAACAGTTAAGTGGGATTAAAACCCCCATCTGTCTGACACCAAACTCCATGCTCTATTAAATTATGTACTACTAAATTATAAGAGACAAAACTAGCTTAAAAATAAACATTTAAATCCTAGAAAACATCAAGTGTTAGTAAAATAACATTTGGGACTGAAAAGATTAGATTTAAATCTTTTTCTTTTTCAAAGTGAAAAGGCCTTACCCACCTAATCTTGTGTCCATAATTTTGATATCATGAACTCACTACTTCCAATAAATCAGTTTCCTTATAGCTCTCTGATGATGCGAAATTTCACTTCCACATTTGTTTTTGTGCATGCTGCTTCTCCTACTTCAAATATTCTATCTAAATAACTATTATTTCCTAAAAATTCAAACTCATTATTTAACATTTAGCATAATGAACTTTTCCTTCTCTAAATTTTCATTGCAACTAACCATTACATGGGACCCACATAATTCTGAGAATTTTTGTACACCTGCTTAAGTTTTACGTCCAAATCCTTGTTTCACCACTTAATACATAGTTTTTAACAAAGTTGTGCATCAGAATCACCTTGGCCCACACTCTGAAGATTCTGAACTATTAAGTCTGGGATAATGTGTTTGTAAAATACATCTTGTAATATATATTTGTAAAATATATATCCTAGCCCCACCCTCCTATAAGAACCGCAAACTGGACATGTTATTTTATATTGGCTTAGGCCTATTTTCTTCTCTATGAAATGAGGATAAGAAATCCTACTTCACAGGATTATTGTCAGGACTAAATGAGGTTTCATATAATCTATAAACCTAGCATAGTATCTGGCATATAGCAAACGTTTAACAAATGTAAGTTGACGTCCTTTGACAAGGAATTCCATCAGTTTTTTTTTCTATTTCCTTCCTATACAACACCTAAGATAGCGTTGAGCACACAGCACCAACTTAAATACTTGTTAACATGACTTTCATACCCTTCTCTTTCGTGCTTTTGATATCCGAGGTGGCTGATTCTCAAGAACCAAGTTTGAAATGTTATCAGCAACAGAATCTATCTGAAGGAAACAAAAAGCATTAACAAGTTAATTAAAAATACTTCATTCTTCAAAGTATTAGATTATTAAATTATTAGCAGAAATCACAAATTTGTGTTAATCCCACAATTCAAATTTGAATAACAGCACTAGATACAATATTAGATGACATGGTTATGTCTCCTTCTTCTATTTTTAAGGGAGAATTTGTCAGATTGCTAAGAAGTTTCCTTATAGCTCTTCAAAGATAATGCTCATCCCTGCCTGCTCTCCTTCCTCCTTGGAATGCCCACTCCATTAATCCAAATACTTCCTAAAAGTACCAAATCATTGAGCGCTCCACCCTTCCCTTCTGTGAATGTTGACAGTACTTACAGGATATATAAGGTCCTGTGCTGGCTGAGTTCATTACTGCCTTCATAACCTCAAATGTGGCAACAAAGGCCCTTCTCCATATTGACTGGCCAGAACCTGATTAGCTCTGCTTCTTGACCCTAGTAAAAAATTGAGGTTTTTCTGTCCTTTTCAATCTACAAACTGATAACTACAGGTAGAAAATTTAACTTACAATTGTTGTTAAGAGAGTACAATCAATCTTAATCATCAAATGGTTATCATGTGTTTGCTAAGAAAAATGATGCTAGAATTAAACTATCAGGATTAGTAGCTAGTATTTTATTACTGCAACTATAAGCTAGTTTTCGGTAAGTCACATATATAAGACCTATTGAGGCCTCCAATAACAGAGTCAGCAGTCTCCAAGGCTATGGCCCAAATGATCAAAATAACAAAATCAGATTAAGACTTCAAAGAATGGTAAGCAACTTTAGTGAAACCGGGATTCTTATATTTTTCAGAGGAATCTGCTAAAATTTACAAACTGTCATACTGACAATAAGCAAGATATAGAGAAGCATTTGGGGAAAAAAAGAGAAAGTAATAACGTAAAAATTCAGGTACTGCCACAACTAGAAGGACCTGCATACAACTATGTATGGGGGTGGGGGCGGTTTGGGGAGATAAAGCAGAAAAAAAAAATTAGGTAGTGTTCAAAAAGAAAACAAGCTTAAGTTAATGAAAGACTTAATAGTTGAAAGTAGAATGGGAGTTTGTATTTTAAGTTGGACAATATAAAACTTAAGAATCAAACATTTTTGTCCTTGGAAAACTAGGGAAAAAACATCAAAATTGAAAGGCCTGAGAGAGCAAACAAAACTATCTTACTAACAGAAAAGATGGGGGGACAATTAAGAATACCATGATTGTGACAACACAAACATCTGGAACATAATGCCTTGTTACTTGGAAATAAAATATGTTAAAGGCGTGGAAGGCCAGGATTTTAATGACTGGCTAATAAAGTTAAAGAAAATGAGATCATGTTTAATATAACGACCGACCATTGTAAATCAGTACAGACAAGCCGTTTTCCCTGTCAATAGGAGACCAAAAATAAACCAAATAAAAGAAAACTTAATTATGGTGGATAAAATTTTGCACAGACATAAGAACTTTCTGTCAAAAATGCAGTGAAGTTATGGAGTCTATGATCCTTGATATCCAAAACCCATGAAATAAACTACCACATTACACAAAGCTATAAGAGAATTCAGTATTTACATTGTGGAGTAAAACAGTTCTGATTCTGAATTCTGACTTTGGCCCTTGATACCTGTTATGAATTTAGGACAAAGTTCTTAATCTCTCTGAGTCTGTTTCCCACTTGAAAAATGGGACTGTCTACACTACTTCATAAATAATACCTCATAGTGTTACAATGGGAATTATGAGATAAAGTATGTAACATGTTAAAGTGCTTGGCAGACAATACATATTAGCTATAATGACAAAATAAATATTAGTTAAAATTATGACAGTATGCTCCAATTTACCAAAGAAACATCAGTCACTTTTCATTCATTACAACTTGTTCATGAAGGACTTTTAGAACTTAAAAATGATTTCACATTTGTATTCCCATTTGATTCTTACAATATCTTGTGCTTAAACAGAAGTATTTGTATCATATTTTATGTGGAGAAATTTATGCTCAGAAAGTTTAAGGAACTTTATCCAGGTTACAATCCTAGTTAACGGCAATTCTGGGACCAGAAGTCTGGTCGTCTAACTTTCATTTGGTGAAGGTTCCTGTAGTCTGCTTTATCGATCTGCTCATCTTTTGAGCAAGTAAACAGTTAAAGAAGCATACTTATCTTTGCGGCCCTTACAAAAATACACTACCATGTAAACGTGGTCACAAAAATATTAATGAAAGGTAATGCGTGACTGACTGACTTCATTTCCCCCCAAGTTTATGATTTTATATAGTAAACATTTTAATAGAAGTGAACATTGCTTTCAAATGCTATAGGCAAAAAGAAATATTACTTCACATACTTTACTCTCTTTAGAAGTCAGCTTCAATTGCTCCAGTTCCTCTCTATGTTTTTGTTCCATTTCTGCTTCCAACTTCGAAATATCTTCAGTGAGTTGCTTCCTCCTCTTTTTGTCATTTTTGGGAACAGCATTCTTCATACCCTGAATTTTGGCTGAAAGGCCACCAAAATCATTATGTCAAAAACCCAGAGATTAAGAAGAGATAAGAAATAGGAACAATAAGGGGATGATAAGGGGGGAAAGGTATAGAAAAGGTAATTATGGAAGCAAGAAGTGTAATTACATAACAGTCAGAAAATTACAGAGAAGAGCTCAAAGATGAGACAAAAAAAAAACATTAACATAACCGTGAGTTTGGTGTGGTAGGAGGAAAAAGTGAGGTATTTCAAAACGCACCATTACGGCCGAGGGTCGGTAACTGGGGCAAGAATGGAAAGGGACATGGGGGCGGGGGGGGGGGGGGGGGGGGCGCAGAACAGTCCAAGACCACGGCTTGGAGGTGTTCTCGGATACCAGCATCCGGGCGGCGGTGCAGGGTGGCGGGGACGCGGCGGACCTGAGAAGGGGAAGTTTGTGAAGGTCTGGGGTATTAAGGGACCACCAGGGCAGGAGAGGCGGGAGAGAAGAGGCCACTGGCTACTTTGGGGAAGTCTAGGAGGGTCCAGATCAGAAGCTCCTCAAGATCCCCATAAACCAACCCGCAAGCGCCATTCCCTGGGTCCGGGCGACTTCTCGGTTCCCCACTCCCCCGTCACCTTGCAACTCCTTCTTCTCCTTGCGATGCCTTCTCACCAGCTGCTGCTCCTCATCAAGCTCCTCCACCAAAACTGCCTCCATGACGACCAGGTAGCTAGTCCCAAGCCACGCGCTAGAGGAAACCTGAACCGGCTAGCAGAAACCTTCCAACCCTCAACCCTCACCCGGGGCGCCATTGGCCGCGGCTGAGACCCGGCCCCGCCTTCAAGGCAGTACCGGATCTAAGCCGGGTCGTTGGAGCGAGAACGGAGAGTGGACTCTGCGCATGCGCTCTCCTGTGACCCCCCGCCCCCGCTCTGATGGGGCGGGGCGGCGGGGAAGAAGCGCGACGGCGCGTGGAGATGTGGCTTGGCCGACTGAGATTTGCACCCTCGCGATTGGCTAGCGCCCTCGAACCACTTCCGCAATAAAGCTACGCACCAGGCTATTGGCCGTGGGGTGAGGCGCGCAGAGATGACGTAAAGGAAACTATTTTAAATGTTCTTTTTATTTTGTTCAGCGGTTCAGAAGACGTCCTGTAATTTTCACTTTTGGTCCCGTTGTTAGGTAAGAAAGAAAAATAGAACATGTTAATAAAACCGTTAATAATTATCAGTGGGAATCTTTCGGTTGAATCCATCAAACGGTAGGGAATTAAGTTTTCTTTATTGTTTTCAAGGTTGTAATACCGCAGTTGAGAAGAAAGAAACAGCTAAGTAATCGAGAAAAATGCCGCCTCTTGAAACGGATATAGCGGTGGAAACAGAAGAGAAAGGATTGAGTATGTTATAATACAGGAGCTTAAAAGACATATGCTCAAAGATAAAGAGGCTAATGTCAGAGCACTTGAAAAGTATCAGGGAGTTGAGAGAGATGACAGAAATGTGCAAGCCTGATGAGGCACAAAATCGAATTACTGAAGTAAATGCAAAACAAGACAAATTCTCACAACATGCCGGAAAAAAGGGAAAACAAATCAAAATAAGAAAAGAGAAGAAGAGAAATCTAGAGGGCCAGTCCAGGAGATAAAATTTACTCATAAGAGGAATGCCAGAAGCAGAGGACAAAGCAAATGAAGCTTAAACAATAATTAAGGAACTAATTGAATAAAAGTTTGTGGAGTTGAAGAACGAACTAGATCTGCAAATAGAAAAAGCTTACAGGGTACCGTTAAAATTTAAGGAAAAGAAAGCAACACCTAGACATATGCTGGTGAGGTTTTTAAATTGGGAGGATAAAGAAAAAATTCTAGAAGTATACCGACAGAGAAAGCAGGTTAGCTATAATGGGACAAAAGTCAGGCTCACCTCAGATTTTTCCCTTGCAACTCTAAATGCCAGAAGACAATGGAACAATATCTGCAGAGTTTTAAGGGAAAATAATTTTGAGCCAGGAATTATATATCCTGCCGAGTTAGCGTTTCTGTATAAAGGCAACTGGAAGACATTCACAGATATGCAAGGGTTAAGAAAGTATATCACCCAACTACCATCCTTGAAAAATTTGGTAAATGATTTACTGCAGTCATCAGAGAACGTAAATTAAAATAACTGAAGAGTAGGGAGGCAATTGTATGAAAAATTAGTGGTAAGTGTTAAAACTAGTTAAATAGGATTAAATTTGTTATACGTAGGGTTATAAAACTAATCGCAAAAATACATTGTAACTTGGGTCTAAAATTTCAGTTTATGTCACTTTAAACTGAAAAGGCATGCTAAATGTTCAGTATATAAAGGAAATAAATGCTGTTTTATTTTTAGCACGCAGTGTACATAAAGATAGGCATTTTCTTAAGCTAAAAATTAGTAAATTAAAAGGGCTTTGTTACTGTGGACAGGACACATAGAGTAAAGGCATTCCAAATATTAATCTGACAAAATGGGAAAACAGTACAGATTTATTTCCCCTGTTTTTAATTATAGATGGGGAAAAGGTAGCAAGTTCATAGTGTTAATACTGATAATATAAAAAGACAATTTCCAAATCACTGGTTGGGGAAGTAGTGGATTAAAACCTTGTTTTATGTACATCCTGCTTAGGGAAAATCAGTAGTTATTGCTTCAGGGAATAGTTAATTAGAAGTAAATTGGACATTGAGATAGTGTTACAGACAAAAATAGAATGTATATTCCAATTTGTTGGATTGGAGAGGAGGTGGTGAAACCAAGAAAAACAGCAAGGAAACATTAAAACTAGCATAAAATAGATTGACAGAGGTACAGGTGAGCCATCACACTCATAAACTGGTTAAATATCCCTGTTAAAAAGATTCATATTGGGTCAAAAATCAGTCTTTAACCCTGGATACTCACATGGGTATAAAACAAAGGATAAAAGAGTTTAAAAATAATGTAAACCATCAGGCATAGATATAGGGAGCAACATTTTTATTAGAATTCAAGCTATAACAAATTATATTTAAAACACTACCCGATGTAACATTTAAGAGACTTAATGGGGAAATAACATGGCATTTATATGTAAAATGTTCAACATCTTGATGTGAATTGTAGTTTTACTGATGTATATATATGTTCAAAAAAGTTTACTTAAAATTAGTGCATTTTATGTACTTAAAATTAATAAAGTAATCATTCAACTGAAGAGATTACAAATGGCTAAAACTGTTGGACTCTGACTTCAACATTTAATGGTCTTTAATAAATCAAGTAAATGAAAAGTTGAGATATTTAAAGAGTAGTCAAATACTTAAGAGGCATGTGTGTGTATAATACATATTACTTTATTTCATTTGCCTTTTCAAATTATCCTGAAACATTTCTAAATAGTCATATACTAGGATACAGAGAAAACTTTAATATATTTCTAGAAAACGCAGGTGATCACATTGCAAGAAAAGCCTAGAAACTAAGTTTAAATGCTGAAAATCACATACATGGAATTTTTGAAATATTCTTAAATAACTTTTGGGTCAAAAAGAAAATTCTAACACATTCTGATAATTTACGAAATGCAACAATAAGGATGTTACACATTATATGTCATGGGATGAGTGTTTTTTGTTCTTTTTTGAAGAACATTGATGTATTTCCAGGATTTTTTTTTTTACTTTCAGTAAATGGCACCTCGAAGACCCACGTATTTTTATTCCTGCATTCATCTCTGATCCCATCTACTTCCAATCCCAGAGCTTCAGCCATCTTGATCTTTTTTTCTGGCTTGGAAAAATTAAGCTGCTTCTTGCCACAGGAGTTTTTCACTAGGTGATTCCTTGACTTGGAAAACTATTCCCCAAATTTTGAAAAGCTGGCTTTTTATTATCATTCAGGTCAAAATTCATGTTTCACTTTATCAGAAATGCCTCAACTAACCAACAACCTACATGACACCCCCTGCCACCAACTGTGTATCACCTATCTCAAAAGCGCTGTCAATCACTTTACCTGCTGTATTGCTGTCATAGCCCTGATTACTCTCCAATATCACCTTCTTTTTCCCTTTTTTTTAAAATTTTATTTATTGAAGTATAATTGGCATGCAGTAAACTACAACCAACAATCAATAAATGGCACCACAGTCCTCTCAGTTGCTGAGGGCAGAAACCTGGGTATTATTCTTTTATTCTTGACTAGTCTCTTTCCTTTACCCTTTACTTTCAACAAATCATTAAATCCTACCTTCTAAATAAATCTCACAGCAATTGCTTACCTCCAGTTCTACTGGCACTACTCTAGGTCCAAGTCTGAATTATTTCTCACCTGTATTGCAAAAACAAGCCTCTCAAGTTTATTCACAATAAGAGTGATCTGTATAAAATCCAAACTGAATTTGAGTTTCACCTCTGAAGTAGTTTTTAAATAAGTTGTATACTTCTTAATACGTCTCTCAAGTCCATCTCCAGTCTCATCCCATGCCACATTCTGTTATAATCCATTTAAGCCATTCTGGATTTTGGTACATTGAATTCCTACACTTCCTTTTCCCCTGGAATGGCGTACCTTTGGAAATAGTGCTTCCTTACCACTGAGAATATTGATTTGCCATCACTCCCTGACCACCCTATTTAAAGTCATTCACAATTCTGATCCATTCATTCTCTATTGAAAGTATCCTATTTATTCCCCTTTGTAATACTTTTACTTGTCTTCTGTTTCCTCCACTTGAATATGCTTCCATGAAGCATATACTAACTAAATCTGTCTTGTTTGCATTTGTGTCCTCATTGCCTAATATAGTGCTTAGCACATAGAAGTTATTCAGTAAACATTTTAGTAGAGCAAGCATTGACTGGATGATGATTTAGCAATAATAAAGGCAAATAAAAGAGCATTTAAGGTCCCTTTTATCTTTAAATTATACAGTTTTGGGAATATCTGACTCAAACCAGCCTTCAGTGATAATTAGAAGACAAAAGATCAGATCTTATCCCTTGAGCCTCTGGGCAGGAACACAGCCCTCCTGACACCTTGATTCTGACCTGGTAAGAGCTGTGTTAGACTTCTGATCTATAGGGGTTGCAGGGTTGGCATAAAGGGTAAAGGGGCACATCTATATGGTGACAGACAAATATGGTGGAAGTAACGTTATTTGAGATCCAGGTCGAGATGAGGTTTTACCCAATGGCAACTAATAGAATATCAGTAAATGAAAAGAAACACTTTATAGAACTTTCTCTTTTGGCCTTTTAACTTTCTAGTCTGTCTCTTAATTTATATTGTATTTCATTTTCTTCATATATTTTCAGTTGCAAAGTTTAAAAATCTCTCATTTTTTTTCTCTTTGCCTGTTTCTAAATCCTTTTTGCTAAGTCATTTTTCTTCTGCCTTCATGATAATTTCTTTTCTTTTGCCCATTGCTAAAATATTGTGGTTTTGGGAAAGAATCCTAACATGGTGAACCTGATGTGGTGGATATATTAAACTGACATTCAGCATCCATTCCAACTTCTTGCTAGGGCTGAAAGAAGTTTCAAAGACTGGAAAGATAAATACTGCATTTCTTATATTCCTGTATAGGATTCTGGATGCAAATTATTTTCCACCAACTAGAAACAATTGCCAAAGATTAATTGATGTGGGCTCTTTTTTTCCCTGTTATTTCAGCTGTCACTACTGATTAGTCTGTCTATGAAGATGTTTATTGTATCTCTTGGGTGGCAGTGCAGCAGTATTCTAGCATCCAGTGCCTTGGACCTCATCTCTAGGTATCTTCCTTGTTTCTTATCAAAGCTATAGCAGTGTATTCTTGAAGTCAACATATCTCGCGGCAGCCTTCTATTAGCGTCTTTGTGCCTCAGTTTCCTATTTTAAAGTGAGATAGGAGGATGAAAAACCATCTGTTTTGAATTATCTTTTACTACAAAACTATTTTTTCAAATGAAATCTTAATGCAGAAGTCAAATACATGACACAGATATAAATGAAGCCAATGAGACTGAAAGGAATGAGTGGCATGGAATCCTGCCTACTCTTCACTAAACTGGAGGCACTTGTGTGGAGTCTCTGGGAGCTCAGTTTGAATATCATTGGATAATCTAAGGCAGAAATTTTAAATCTGGCTGCACTTTAGAATCCTCTAAAGAGTTTTGTTTTGATAAGTTTTGCTTCTAATACTGATATCTTGGTCTCTCTCCCAGAAAGTCTGCTACTGAGACCAAGCAGGTATATTTTTTTTAAATCTCCCCAAATCATGCTAATAACAGACAGGTTGGGAAATAACTTCTCTGGATAGACTTTTCCCTGATTCTGAGTACTCAGCTTTTCATTGATTTTCATTAAGGTGAGTTTCTCATCTTATTCTGGATTCTTGTGTTTTCTTTGTACAACTTTTCCAAAAATACTTGGAGTTCCAAAAGGTCTTAATTCCATTATAATTCTGTTCTTTTATGTTACCTAACTGGTCCAAAACCAGTGTTATCTTCCAAAACAAAGCACTATCTGTTTCTTAGAAATTTATTGTGGGCTTGTTGTTCTTCAATAAAAATTTACATCAAATAATAATTTAATGATTAAAAGATGACCTTGGAGTCA